TATCCATTTAAATGGATATTTTATATCCCTGTTCCTCATTCTTCTTTATTAAATAAGCGAAGTTGACTTGACTAAAGGCTTTGTCTGTATGAAGCTAAACCTTATTGAAGTTGCTATTAATCAAATTTCCAACTTTATTATTAAACTTTCCATACAAAGCTGGAATTGGAGAAAACTATTCCGTTGGTAAGATAGTGAATTAATTTTTGCATTATTTGAGAATTTTTAAGCTTTAATTTACCGCTGAAACAAAATCCGGCAACTTTCATGCATCCCTTTCAGAACTTTTCTATATATCGAAGCATTACATATGGCCATTTTGTACGTTGTTTTATACAAAATCGATCTTTTTACTTCTTAGTACGGAGTAAAGAATGTATTTTAATCCCGAAATCTTTCTACTAGCGTATTTCAACATAATCATCCATTATCAATTTTAACTGTTCCCTAATCCGTTTGGACGAATTTTTTTTTCAGCGGGAAGTCTGTACGTACGGACAGACTAAAGAATTGTTTTTTAAGAAACAACTGTAAAACGGATTTAAAGTGGATTCAAAAGGGAAATTTTTCGTAACATCTGTACATACATACATCTAGCATAATTCAGAAAGGATTAGCCGTAGAATGTTGAAATTTTGTATATGGGACCGCATCTAGTTGTGCATCTCCGTTTTGTATTGCAATTTACAAAACAAAACGTATATATTTATGTACAAAACCCCTTAATCGGCCTTTATTTTCGCAGTTGTTGGTCAGAACCACATACTTGCAGTTATAGAAAGTTTTAAATAACGAAAATATTCAGGTTTAGGAAATGTAAAATCAAATTGAACAAAACAAGTAATATATTTTTTTTAAAGTTAATTCCTACTTAGGTCATCAAAGAAAAATTTTATTTTAGTTACTGTTTATTACTGTTATAAAAATTAATTGAATGTTTAATGAACTTTGTAATTTTTAAAAAAAATTAATAATTAATTAATTAATTGAATGCTTAATTAAATATTTATGAATTATTCAATTAACAAAAAATTAATGTTTTTAATAAAAAACATTTTTTAAAATTATATAAATATATGTAAACATTTAGTTTAATTTATTTATTGTAAAAAACACTGTATTAACATCAAGTGTCATCCACTACAAGTTTATAAAAATGTATTTGAAATTGAGTGGATGAATAAAAAGTATTTTATTAAAGTTTGAAAATTTGAACAAGATATAGGGAGAGTGTGAGTTAATAGTAGGAATTTAAAAATAATTAATTTTCAACAAAAAACGAAATATAATTTTTATTGCAGTCAACCGTTTCCTATACGTATATTTGGGAAGTTGATATGAAAGAATAAAGCATTCGATATGAAAAAATAAAACTAGAAAAGGTTTTACTCCCGTATGACAAAAATTGATCAGGATACTTAACTGTAAAATTTTCAATTTTTGATATCACTCTAAACTTGCCTTTTAAAGAATCAGCTAATTAAGTTAGAAAAATTTGAAGGATATTTAGTTTAAATGAAGCGCAGCAAAAAATGTGTATAATTTAAAATTTTTTACAGGGAACTCATGTCTGCAGTCATGTCTGAAGTGGTGTCTACATCAGATGTTTATTTTATTACAGTCATTTTAATGCACCCATGCCATTTCGAATATTACCACATTTTACAATTTTCATTTATCAGGAACTAGATGTTTTCATGTAATTTTCTACAATTTGTTTTTATTTTTGTAATATGCTTTGGCAAAAGCTGAGGAAATTTAGGTTTAAACATCTTTTTTTTTTTTTAACTTCAAATCTTTGTGAACGATTTTATCTTCAGTGAAAGATGACATTCCCATTTCCGATGTAATGGCTGTTTGAGACAGTAGATTTTCTCTCAGGATCAGAGATTTCACATTCTTGATATCTACTCGCAATATGTCATATATTTACCTTAATATTTACTTGCAATACCTTGATATTTACCCTCAATATTCAAGTAATTTCAGGATGCGAATTTGGGGCCATTTGATCATTTTTATTTAAAGTTAGAAGCTTTTTTCCTTGGAAATCTAATACGTTAAAATTACTTCTCTTCGAAATGCAGTAAACTCGATTTTAGGACAGCTTTTCAATATGTAAATACGAATACTTTTTCCTCGGAAAATTGCATTCACTTAGCATTCGACCTATCTATCAAATTTAGGAGCCATTTCCAAAATAAATCTCTTTTTATGCATTCCAATAAAACAAAATAGCAGCAGACGATTATTTTGAAAATGCCAAATCTTTATCTAAAACTGCCAACTAGAAAATTTAAATCGAAAGTCGTTTCCATAAGTGCAAACGATTTTCTGCAGTTCAATCAGAAAAGAAAAGATAAAACTAATTCTACTTAATGTGAAGCGCATCACGTAACAGTGAATTTATTCACGGAATAAAATCTGAAACTCTATTACAAACGCACGTTACTGAACTGAAGCATTAAAATCACTGAGCTAACTGACTCACTGCTCCTAATGCAGCCGTACGTAAAAGTCTGCACATCGTTTCTGGAACCCAAATCACTCCTGGGCTACGAAATTGTATTTTCGAGAAACTTCTAGAATGCCACCAAGTTAGTAAAATGTAACCGTATGTAGCTAACATGGAGACAAAAGAACGGTTTTTGTCCATCTCGCCGCGTTTATCTGAGTAATCTCAACAATCCAAACGTCGGTTTGGTTTTTGTAAAATTTGCAAGATCTACAGTTCTAATTTATTTAATTTCTAATTTACAAGATCTATCATAATAAACACAGATAAGCATACGTAGCTAGAAATTTGACTAAACAAAAATACACTATTAATTTCTTACATAAAATGTACCAAATACATAAATAAACAGATTAAAACAATGCGCGACACTTCAAAACGTAAACTGCATAGAATTTTAAAAAAAATTAGAATAGGCAAAAATATTTACATGAATTTATAGCAATATAGCATATGTGAGAGATGTGTTTAATGACTTTAAGATCCTTCTTACAACCTGTCAGACCTTTAATACTAGTGCTAGTTAAAGTCAAAACAACTGTAGAGAAAAACATAACTTTTAAAGTTCTACCTGCCACATGAAGATCTTTCAAAAAACATTTACACAAGATCTATGAATTTATTTTCTTAGAATTTTAAGCTGTTTTTTTAGTTGAGCGGTGTACGCATTCACCTGTCCATGTTTTTAAGACTGAACTTTACGTTTGGATAATTTTATTAATGATTTCAACCATTTTATTAATGGTTTCGCACTTTATGTGTCTGTACAGAGAATTTTAAAACTATAAATAGTGGAAAACTGCTTTAAAACTTCAAAAAATTCTGCAAAAACGTGCTGAAGTTTGAGGCGAATTAAAGAAGTACCATTCGCACATAGTCATTACACGAAGGGAAATTAATGAATACTCCGCAAGTTTGGAAGTTTAATCGATAGGTAACATATGCGGTCATTGGAAATGTTTACCCTTTGACGAGCACAGTGGAAAGTGAGGAGATGTTCGCATTAGTTGTGCCGCATATTCAGTTTCAGGTTCACCTTATTTCCAGATTAGTTACGACTAAATGACTAGGAGATGATTAATTAATCATTCTTATAATTGCAGGGCTAGTTTAAGATCGATTAGGTGGTTAATTTCGTAGAATGTTAATGTCGCTTTCCTGTTTTATGGAAGTGGACCTTGTCGTGAAGTTTAAGCTCAGGTATGACATCATAGCAATATTTACTCTTTTTCTCCAAATTATGTTTTAGGTGGCGCTTCAAAACATAAATTAGGTAGGGAAAGAAAAATTAATTTCATGTTAATTTTATAACAGTTAATTTTAATTTTGAAACCCTCTTCTTTCAATTCTTGTTTCCCACTTACAATTCCCTACCAGAACGAGATTTTAGAATCGCGTTGAATACAAATGAGTTAGAAGCAGTATTTAAAGGAAGTTCTACTTACTTCAAAAAGAGAGAGTGCTTAGGAGTCCTTTTGATGCGCGTGTTTGCCTTCTGGGTATTTCATTCTTGAATCTATTACACTCCATCGTATTGTGCGTGCTTGTTGATAATCGCCTTCTAGTTTAAATTAAGGGCATTACGTTAGATATTGGTGTATAGCTTCGGCTAAGTCTATTTTAGTTGGTAGTGGATTAGTTTCTTATTTTATTATCCTGATTTAAAAGCCCGAGAAAAAGCTATCTGCTATCATTTCTGTGAGTGAATAAAAAGATATTTTAACTCTTCTCAATTCTACGTTGTTAGTGTTTGAACTCAGCAGCGCTAATTCGCTGCACAGTTCATTAGACTCCTTGATATTTTATCATAGGCAAAGTAGTGAGGGACATTATAGTCTTGATAATGACTTTAAACAAATCGTTAATCATTGAAAGCAAACTGAACTAACGGAAGTACTTTGTTGTAGAATTTTGTGTAAACCATTGAATGGTGCCAAAATGGAAAGTACAAAAAAGTAAAAATATTTGTTAATGTCTGAAGACATAAACGTAGATAGTTGTTCTTCTTGAGATAAACTTACAATAATTGACAAAATGCTTCCCTTGTGGAACAGATTTTATTTTTAGAGAGCTTTCTGTGTGAACTTTGTGCTTTTGGTTTTGTTGTATTTTCTGAAAATTGCGAGTTAAACTGCTCACAAGTGAGGAAATTACTCTATACTATTCCCCCTTATTTTTAAGAATGTAAGTATTCCTATATTTTCATTTATTTTAAGTATTTTATATCTTCCACCAGAGCCTTTTAATCTTAACCTTACAAGCAATTACTTCTCTCTTAGTGGCTTCCATTAGGCTTCCATCGTGGAGTTTAGATAAACATTTCGGTAAAAATAATGTTATAGACAGATAATCTATACAGATTTTTCTTTTTAAGATTGCAAAATTTTGACTAAGATTCTTAGATTGTTACGTAATTGTACAAGAAACAAAAGAATACTGGACATCATAATATTTGAAGGAAATGTGTTGTTTTTTTTGCTTACAGATTGGAACGAGTTGTTCACGACCAAATGTGTAGCCTGTGGTTTCCCGATCGAGGCAGGAGACCGATGGGTAGAGGCCCTAAACAACAACTACCATTCTCAATGCTTCAAATGCAGTGTAAGATATTCTTAATTATTATTTATATATTATGGCAGAAATAATGTCGTTTACTTTCAGAATTTCTCTTAATAGTCGAAAATAGGCACTGTTGTTAACAAAACGCAAAAACTTTCTACAATACAGTTAAGTTGCTGTCATTTCACTTACCATTAGATCTGTGCTTTCCATGGTATGAGGAATATATATTAGCCCTTTGGCAACAGATAAAATATAAACTAATTTTTTAATTAGTATGTATCTGGCAACTCTGTCAGTGTTATATAGCTTTTTATAATGTACCATTTTAAACATTAAAATAATGACCGCGGACACATAAAGCATGACAGCGAAGTTATTCTGTTTAAAAAATCCACGAAATTAATTCATCGTTTCTGCACGATCTTCTTCATCCAAGCTCAGTGTGAATTATGTGCTCTCACATGAATTACTAAATGAAGCTGAAATGGAGTTTCTGCTTTTTTATTAGTTTCTTTTCCCTAGTATTTGATTATTTACAATAATAGAGACTGCAATAGAAATAAATGTCTGGTTTGATCAGTGGTGATCCCGTTTTGTAGTTTCACATGTGTTCGAATTGACTACGCTCAGACCGATTATTGATTAGAAAACACAATCCAATTATTTGTTTTATCATCTTCCACCTGATCCATATTCTATAGTTAGTGATATAATAATAAATTCAAATTTTACGAATCCTACAGGGAAGTTGAAGAACAAATAATGCCTCGATGCGTGACACGCGGCGAGGAATTTCGTTCCATTTTAGCCGAAGTATTCTGAAAGCATCTGGCTCAGACGCTTCATAAAGGCTTCCATGATAACGTACCGCATAAACAAGTTTTTTTGTACTGTCATCGTACAATTCTGCTGCCAATCCATATAGAAATGAAGTTACTTTTCACTGCAGTTCTTCGTTTCAGCAAACCACATTCCAACCCCATCCTTAAATTCACTGGAAAGGTCTTAAACGCTCGGCACTAGTCTGGGACTGCAGTTTGGATGCACCTAAATCTTCTATCAGAAGTTCTAAAGCAGATAGGCGGATACAGAGCCATGTAGCCAGATATCATTACAGCGGTTAATCAGTATTTTAGTAGGAAGTTTTTTGCTGACTACTAAGAGTTCTAGCAAACTATTCTGTATTTCTCAATAAACTGGCAACAAAACTGTGGGATAAACGTATACAAAGCATAAAAATTTCAGTACCATGGCTGGAAATGTGAAATGATAGTTCAAAGTATGCGGTGTCATGCTCAATTAACTACTATTACAAAACGAGTACAATTTTTGGGATGTTCTCTATTCCGAATTTAGTTTATACAAGTATTATGTAACAGTCTACAGTTACAGTTGTGAGTCTACAGTTGTGAAATGCTTAAACAATTGGTTTAAAATGAGCATTCAAAGTGATTTCACGGCTCAAATTCTTGTGTTTCACGACGATTATCGATATTTGTAAACACCAGTATTATTTGTCCTCGTAACTTAATTTCAGTTTGAGAAAAACGGATAGACAGTAATGAGGAAAACAAAATATGTATGCATTTCCCGTGACCTTACGCAAAACGTCTATGAAAACGATATTAATTTTATGTTTAATAAATAGTAAAAATAAGTTTATGGAATTTGCATGCTTAAAATACTTTGTCTCTGTAGATAATCTTTAAAATATTGCATAATTGTGTGTTTTTCTTTCAAATTTCAGACCTGTGGCAAGAATCTGGAAGGACAGAGTTTCTACGCCAAGGGTGGCAAACCATTTTGTAAACAACACGCGCGATAAGCTGTCATAGAAAAAGATAAAGATGGATTTGAAACTATGTCTTCATAATAATTTACAATATATGTTCAAAGATGAAGAAAACAGTTCGATCCATGTAAACAAATGTATGTCTTGTTTTGGCATTTCTGAAATCTAAACTGGAAAAGAGTGACAATATAATAATTGATTTTAAAATCTCACTTTCTTCTTTGTGTTTTCCATTTCGAAAGATAAATCTATGTCACAAATTTTCAAATAGTAATTTTTTAAAATGGTGTTTTGAAGTCTGGGAAACTTTAATAGTTATAATGTGATACTGCTGTATTTTTTAACACACAGGAAGAATTCAATCCGTCAGCTTGGAAAAATGATCTGCTCGGAATTATCAGAGGACCAGTTTATTCAGTGACTTTAGTATTAATAGGTGAGATAAGTGATTGATGATTTCGATAGAACTGTGTTTAGTTAATAAACAAAAAATATTATTGATTTCACCTATGATCTAGTTGAATGGAATAATTTTAAAAATTGGAATGGTTGCATACTTGCAAAGCCTGTCACTTTTCAGTTATTTTTATGTCATGCAATGCATCTTTCACAGAGTTTTGAAGCTGTTTTGTACGCTCTTCAAAGAAGCTGTTTGGTTATGTGCGTATTCAGTTTTCCTGTTTTACATAATACTGGAGAACATCTTGAGTCTGTATCTGGATAAAACAGGGATATGGCAGAAAATCACTCCCATATACACGAACAGGTATTGTTCTCCATACTGCCAGAAAAAACCTGGCCCAACATTTCAGAGACTGAGATCCCTTTGCACTGTAAAATCGTAACGGTAATTCTATATTCCATGTACTAAGCCATTTCTCGCTTGCTTTCACAGACGGCAAATCCGGTGGTCACGATCCAGCTTCCTGTGCGTTATTAGTGCGTATGTGATGAGCGTAAAGTCTACTGCATTCACATTCGTTGAATTCGTTGAAGTTGAAATCTCCGTCAGTTTATATCATATTTGAGTACTGTAGTACATTGACCTTTACAAGAAATGTATTTCGTGCCAATTAAAGGAAATGGACTAATAATAGAAATTATAGATCTTTTTCAAGTTCATTCTTAAAAGATCTGAAAACAAATAATGAAAATCATTAAAAAATACAAGACAAGCCTGTTCAACTATTAACTCTCTCTCCTCTGCACAAATCAATTCATTTCATTCTTCGCGCAGACTAGAAACATTTTATTAAGTTATTGGGTGGTAAATGTATAGGTTACTGCCCGAATTGCCTTTTATAGAATAAAATTATACCGATTACACTTTTATTGCGTCAAACTTATTGTCCGAAAGCTGCCATATACAAACAAGTAAAATTTTCTTTCAGTTACTGATGGTATTTTAAAAAAATGAATAAATAAATTCAAAATAAAAAGGTGATTATTTAATATGCCTTCGATAACCTGATCATGGTTTAACAAATAAATATTTAAAAATAAAGTAAATATCTGATTATTTAATGCATTTAACTAATTGAAAGGACTTGGTAAGTCATTTAATAATCAGTTATTTTTTGTAATTTTTTCGTAATTTAATTTATAATAACAATTAATGCTCGGTAAAATAACATAAAGTTTATTAAATTTAATGGAGACAAAACTAACTAGAAGAGGATGATAAAAGAATTTTTAGAAATGTAACTTTCCCAGACTAGAAGTGAGCAGTTGATTCAGTATTCAGTTATGTCTCTTTATTTGGTTGTACTAAATATGAAAAAATAAAAATGAATGTTGTAAAGAATACTAGTTTCATTAATTTGCTTTTGTGCATTGAACCGCTGCTGTTTCAGAACTCTAATCGGAGAAATGAAATGAGTTTGTCTTCGATGGCATCCATTTGGAAATATGAGCTATTCATTCAAGAAAAGAACACCGAAAGAGATTCTTTCGGTCTTCTTTTCTTGAATGTTTTACAGTGCAAAGTTGGCGAAATTTTGAAAATAATTTTTTAATAAATAAATTCAGCGTTTCCGGGCTAGTGTTTCATGATCATTGTTATCAAATGTCAGGCTTTTAGAGAACATGTCCTCCTCTTTCATCATTATCTAGGCATTTTTAAAACGTATGGAAATATTCATACATAATTAATTGCATGGTCACTCAAAAAGTAATTTTAATTAATAGTAAAATGTTTCTAAGATCATATTGTACGTACCTACGTACAACATATACTCTGGTTTAGTAAAATGTGTGGTCTCTAACTATTTCTTTCATATAAAATAGCTTTCTTTTATTAGCTTTCATTGTATTCTGTAATTTGCAATTTGAGATTGGACTGTCTTGCTTATTTCCGAAAAATATGCGCTACGATTTTACAATATTATGCTTAATTTAAAATCCTTTAAAACTACGTGATACTGTGGCAAAACTAATGAAGTCTGAAGTCCAAAACTAATGAGTCCGAAGTCGTCATTGTTGTGTTTACAGAAGCTTTTTGCTATCATCCATGTAGTCTCGCAAATACCCATTTCTTAACGTACTGCTTTTCAGCAGAGCAAAAGATCTTTGATTTATCTACCAAATTTAATTAATCTGTAATTTCTTGACAAAATACAAGATTTAAAAGGATTAAAGGCACACCTTCATAATTCAAATATTTTTTAAGTATAGTTACGAATTTGGTACCCAGAAATCATTAGAAATTTTTTTGGTAGTCGGGGGGATTACCGTGTGCCTTCAAGACCTTTTGCATTGCTTGTGTTTAAAGTTCTTAATAGTTTGAAGTGGAAACTACTGTTTGAGCTCTGTCATACTGAGAAGAGCTGTACGAGAAACGTCTGTGTGAAGAGACCCAGAACTGTAAAATGTTTTTGGAAAAATAAATTTCATCAAAATTTTGTCATCGGTTTTGTATGCATTTAATCTATATGTTATTTTCTCTCTTCTTTCTGCATGTCTTCAAGGTGTAAAAGTAGCATACTCGGCGCGTATTCGAGAGGTTCATGTTCGAGTTCCAGCGAAGGCATTCCTCATTTTTCACGTTCCAGCATCAAAATAACCTAATGACTCTACAGTGGCGTCCGAACTGAAAGATGTTGGATAATGATTCTTCACCACCAAGATTTGGCGATTGGGTCCCCTAATCCACAGTCTCCCTTTAATCCCTCCTTTCTGGATGCCTTCGAGGTGTAACGGTAGCACACCTCGAAGGCATCTCGAACGGTAGAACCTCGAAGGTGTAAATAGTGCGTATTCCAGAGGTCCAGATTTAAGTCCCGACGAGGGTATTGAGCATTTTTCACATCACTTGCTTCAAAATAACCTAATGTCTCTATAAATATACCGCGAACCCATAACATAACACTATTATTTTCAAACGCTGATACTTTATTTTGAATCATATGTCTAAGTGTTATAAATTAAAACACGTTATAATTCTAAGCTCTTGTGATAACATGGACATTCGCAGGTTTATTGTCATTAGTAAACAATGCGTGTAACGTCATATTTTGTGCACTTAAGTATAGATTCCTTTTATCTTTGTACATTCCAAAATAAAGTGGAAATAGACAAGCATAAAATACTGAATAAAGAATTTCAAGGAAACATAACAGTAAGACTGCCGTTATAAATTTTTAGGAAGCTTATATCTTTCGGAGAAAAGTACTGATAATGTATTTTGATATCTTTCAGTCGAGAGATAAAAATATCGGGTATACATTACCAAGCACAAAAACCTTTTTATGAAAGCATTTTTCCTATCCTATCTCAAAGTCCAAGGCTTTATTTTGATGTCCAGTTCTTTGAAATTTTAAGCGAATGCAGCGTATCATGTTCACAGATAAAAAATTAATATCATTACTGTCATCGTAATTTTTATTATAATTTAGAGAAAATGTTACATCTTAGAGATAGTATTACCTTCCGTTTTCTGTACAAAACAGGTTAAGTTAAACAAAATTTTAAGGCATTTATAGATTTTTGATTTCCACGCAAATAGGTGTCGTTTACATTTCTCATACAATGAATACAGGATACGAATACGAACCATTATCCGTCTACTTTTGCAAGTAAACGGTATAATGGTTCGGGGAGCCTACTGCGGTACCGAAGGACTCGGGTTCGAATCCTGGAGAAGGCATGGATGTTTGTAAATGTTTAGTGTCTTTACTACATGGGGGCACTGTAAATATATGGTGAGCCGAAAGTCCTCGAGAGAGGTTAAGGTAGTGAAAGAGGGCTGGGAGACCCCCGGATCCTTTTCCCCGGTGTTCTCTCCATGAAAGGTGTTGGGTACTGTCACCTGTATGGTGCTCATGGTTCTTGCCAACGACAGATGCAGTCTTGCTCTCCTTACCACGATGAATTTCATGGGCTTGTTCTGATGTTCAGACAAGTCAGCATAAGTAACAACACAAGAACATACTTTTGCAACACTGACTTTCTGAAGAAAACATATAAATGCTTTTAAAAAGTCATGAAACGTTAAATATATGCGACGTAAATGCTCATTTTGCTTTAAACTCGAAAATAGGAAATAAGAGCTTTATACACTTGAGCATTTGTATGTCTATGTTTTCAATGATGTTTCTATAACCAAAAAGCCACCAATGGTTATGACTGTGAGATATTTACAGTCCATCTTAGTTTATCTTTATGGGGACTGAAACAGAGATCTTATGAATTTCTCTATTTCTATTGAATGCGACCTTGTTTTGCTTAGAAAATACTCCACGAAGGGATCTGCTTGCTCTTAAGCAGGAAATCATGGCCTGATTTATTACTTTCACATAAAGCTAATAACTTCTGTAAGCCATTCCGTATTCGTTTTATATTTACTTAATTATCATAAAGCGAGGCACTTACCGTAAACGGTAACAGGCTTAATCTAGCCTCTGATGAATTATTAAACTCTACCCAATATGGACTAGATTGGACGTTAACAAATTTGAAAAGCAAGGCTCAGCAAGGGATGAGCATCAGTTAACTGCCATTAGATTTTTTAAACTGAGCATGCTTTTATTTTTTTATCCTTCTGATCTGAGCTACTATATGTAACTTAAATCAGAGGAAAGGTAAAATAAAAGATAAATGAAACTTTACTGTTAATAAAATTTAAGCTAAGTATCATAAGCATTAGGTGTTCTGCACAAAGTTTGGAGCATGGGTTTTTCACACTATCCTCACAATGCGTTTTAAAAAACTTTCTCCTTGAGGTGTAACTGTTACAGGATGCATAATTGTAGCTTATTTGAAAGGCAAAAAGACTTTATTACATTATCACATGTGATATGAAGTTCCAAGCTATCAGATTTGAGCGAAAACTGGTACAATGGAGAGGAAAACTGATTGTCCCCAACAAAGTATGTATTTACGGAAAGCTTTATGGAAAATAAATTAAAAAATCTTATTTCATCTGCAACGGCCACAGTTGTCAGACTTCAAGGAAAATAAACAATATTACTCAGAAAAACACTACAAACGTCGTGAAAAAATGAGCCATAGTCACTTTTTTTAAGTGTAAATATAGCTGTCCTTTTCCTAGACGATAATCATTAAAAGGTGTTTAATGTACTTTCTAGTTACAGAATCAATAGGATTTTAAACAGAATAGAATATTTTCAAATGCTGTCCAGCGAAATAACAGGGGAATTGCTTTAGGTCATGCGATGCATGTCTTTAAATTTAAGACTAGTGATTGACTTTCTTTCTTTTCGCCATCGACGGAACAGCTGGCCCACTAGATTAGGTGCTTTTCAAAAATTTAAAACTGAGAAAGAAAATAATTATTATTTAAATCTATAATATATCAAAATCCTTATTAATTACTTTTAATATATAGCTGTGCGCTTAATCACTGATTTTAGAGTCAGACATTCAAAATGAAACGAATAGTAAGCTATCACTTCCTATGTCTTTCTACCTATTCCTCATCCTAAAAGAATTGTGAATGCTAAAGAGCGTCAGCATCCAGCTGACGAAAATATTCACAAAGAGCAAAGTGAATGCCTCCCTTCTCATCCTTTTCACCCGCAATGCCAAGGATTGGACGAATTTCCCGCTCTAGCTTACTGTTGCGTCATAGTTGTAACGAGAGAATAGTCTCTAGTTTATCAGTAAACTTCAGCTGCGCCACAGGTCCGGGGTTCGATCTCCAAGCTGGGAAAGGTTTCAGCCTTTCATCCCTTGAGTGCGTCGATAAAGAAGTTCGAAGTTCTCTTGGGAACTGAACCGGGGGGTTCCTGCGAAAAGCTGACCACTAGCCCAGAGCGTATGCTGAACCACTCCGGGGCCCAAGGTCAAGAAAGCAGATTTCGGGGTACTGCAGGCCGTGGCCCACTAGGGCTGTTGCGCCACTGAGTTCAGTGTTTTTTATCATTGAACTTAAAATAATTTATTACCATTTTAAGTACGCTAGACTCAAGTTTTCTCTTTCAAAATTTGAGTTGTACTACGCATTTAAGGCTCAATTATTGCTTCTTTCAAAGTTTCATCTGACTATGCACGAATAAGAATATATTTTTCTAAAAATCTGAAGCAATATGCTTAATACTGGAAAATTATCGTTTAATAGTTATTATGTTAAAAAATTTCTTTCTCTTGGTGCCTTTTCGAGTGCTTGACAGTGAAAAAGCAAGTGCTCGGAGTAAAGATGAAATAATCAATTTCACCATTTAATTCAACACATTTCGAGTGAGGCGAGGGAACATTTTCCACCAGGACTTCGTTCCCTTTCAAGCAGACTTTAATTGCTGTCACATCAGCGCCCTAGGATGCGTTGCGTGTACACTTTTATCTTAAAAGTTGTGGCGGGGAAACGAAAGGGTAAATACTTTGTCAATTAGAAGCCACCAGTTACGATTCACGTTTATGTGATAGTTCTGCAGCAACAAAGAAGAGAGTGATTGTCATTTTGTTCCCTTAAGCGGAACTTATCGTTCGTTTTGGCTACGTTGGCCATTGTTTTGGCTTAAAGGTTTATTATCACAGCATAATGGATGCTTGATTTAGGTCTGGTTAACTTTTAATTTCAGGAATTCTTTGAATTTCCATAAAACAATTTTTTAAACTTGTAATAAATAATATTTTCTAAAAGTCTCTCGGGGATGGATGATGGAAGTTGAAATGGAATTTTTTATATAATACTTAATTAAAAAACCATTTAACTTTCGACTTTCTTTGAGAAAAAAAGAAATCAATAACGGTAGATTTTGGCTGAATGTAAGAATCGATTTTTCATAGTGCTTTAAAAAATATTTTGGTATCAGATATAGTTTTTGAGATTTTACAAAAGAAAATCCTTGACCTTGCTTACTCTGGAAGAAAACTCGCAAAATTTCAGTATGTGTTTTCTTCGTAGAAAAATGTTTTGAAGGAGTATGCGAAACTCCCAGCGCAAAAAAAACGTAAATCAATTGTTAGTAAAAAGAATATATGTTGAGAAAGGCGAAATGAAGCATTTTTAAGATTTTGGATATCATATCAAATATCCGGAAGGTTTGATTCCATTTATAAACTTGAATTTATGATCATTTTGAATGAAGAGAACTTTCTTTCTTATAATACTAATTTCCCAGAAATATTGCTAAATAAATTAAGTACTACTGCAGCACATGCTGCACATATTGCAGAACGCGTAAGACATACTGCAAACTTCTTGGTTTTTTAAAAGTTTAAAAAAGAGCCGATTGCTTTATATTTTCCTGCAGAGTTTGAAAATTAACTTTTGCACGAACTAGTACCATATATAAATACCAACAAAATTTAATATGAATGAAACTTACAAATTATACTCATTCATTCTATTAATATCGTCTTCAGTTGCATCAGCAGAACGATCATTTTCAGCACTGAAAAGAATTAATAATTATATTATAGTAAAGCAGTCACAAGAAAGA